TGCCAATCAGATTGCTAATATGATCTATCGGGGTATCACTTATGGGACAACACTAATAATCACTATTGAGAACATTGTGATATTTAGTGTCATGAAAACCAGAAGTCAAATTCAAGCTAAGCAAGCAATTCAATTTAGTGAGGTTTATACTCATCGGCTGCCCATTCATGTGACTTTTACTGCATTTTTCGATCCCCTTGATAATGGCGCATTAAGTACCTAAGCTCATATGACTTTACTGTCGGATCACTCTGGCAGTTAGCTTTTTGGCTTACAGCAAGGTAAAGTATAGGAAATGATGCTTTAGTTAGATATTCTTGGGCTCTGCGAGCCGTACTTAATAAAACACATAAATATTAGAGATTCTTTTGATATTAATCCTATGTGGATTCTGGGACCTAGCAAGGCTCCTCGGATAGCAACATTTAAAGTCTTCACGGATACAATGGCTCCAACTACTCAGGCTTGCTTAGTCAGGATAAATAAAATTGAGTTATCTTTTGTTAATCTTATGAAAATATCAAGTGAATCATAATCTCTTAGTCTGAAGTTGGCCTATGGGCTGTAAAGCTTTTTCCTGAACCAACAAACATCTTTATGGACCTATTTTAATTTAGAAAGTCTAATAATTTCTTTGCTTTGGTACAATTAGGGCAAATGCCTTGATCAATTAATATTTTCCTGCTGAGTACCTCCGCTATTACTACTTTCTTCTTTGAAACACTCACTTCTTTACAGCCGGCTTCCCGTGGAAAAATCGTCCCTATTTCGGCTCCAAATACTTATGGGACTCCAATTCTATTCCCGCCAATGAGAAATCAACGTTCGACCTCACCACTATCATATAACTCCTTGATGATGACATCAAGCTCCAGTCATGGCTCCGAAGTCTCTTTTTCTACCCCTCCTGATGCATCTATTTCTAATATTCATTTACTTCCCGCATCGAACTCCATCTCTTCTGCCTCATCATCTGCCTCCATGCCCTCCCTCTCTTTGGATTCTTCAAACAAAACTCCGAACTTTGGGCCTCACACCAAGCAAAACTGTCATCAGGACGACACAGTTTTGCGTTCATCTGCTCAACAATGGGATGACGAGACAGTGTCGATTAGTGGGTTCAGTAATTCCAGTTTGTCGGAACTGCATGAGTCAACATCTAGTTCTAAGCAAGCCAGACTAAGTAAAGATCAGATCACCTATCTCACCCTTGTTTCCCGTAACAAAGAAGAGGTGAGTTTAGATAGCCTTTTATTTAGAATTTTCTTCTGTCTGGAATACCTGATTTTGACTTGTTTTACGGGTCCTAACCCCTACGGGCATTGCTAATTACCCAAAAAGCCGATAAAAAGTCATGCACAACCTCGTGGCGTTGACTCTGCTTCTTGGTCTGCCTCTTTAATCGAATTTCTCGCATAACGTGACGATTTAGGCCCTACTTCTAGGCGTTGTGTTAGGAATAAGTACAATGATTCTTTATATTTATGGAGATGATGTTAGGACTGATGTCTTAATTTACCACAGCGAAATGATGAGAAAGGCTTACAAATTCATTTCACTTCACATAACCTTGCCTCGCAAAATGCTTTCTTACTCAGAATAGACCACAGCTTCGACCTTGCGTAGCTCTCATCAGCATTCTTTACGGGATTCGGAGCCAATTCGTGCGTGGAAAGTGGCCAAATTGTCACTTAATCGCACGGTTGATAGTGCCTGTGGGTAACACAGGAGATACGAATCTAAGGCTATATTTCCGAAGACCTTGAATACGAACTAGATGAGATTTAGAAGAGTTGAATGCTGCAGCCCAAATAGGATTAGTAAGGCAGTTGGGATACAAGACCAAGTGAAATGCTATAAAATCGTGTGGTCTCTTCTTCATTAAATTTTGAAAATTCAGCTACCAGTCTCAACATCTCACTGGATCCTTATTCAATAGTTACTGATACTTTCGTAGCCTAATTACTTGGAAACTCGAATAAGGATTGAATATATGAAGACCAAGATGTTATGGCCTCTGGTGTGGTCGCACTTCTATCACTCGAATAAGGATTGTCGTAATTTATTGCACTTTTCTTAACTAAAACAAGCTGCGATGGTCAAGAACGGATAGAATTTTGCATTTCAAAAATAGAGAAAGCTAATGAAGAGGAGTTAATTGAAAGTGCCTCGAAACTTTTGTTCCATCAAAAGCCCACGCATAGGAAAGGTATAATAAGGATATGTAGAACAATCAAAAGAAGTGACTGAACGGTCCTAAATGAGGCTAATGATAGGGAATGGCAGATAACAATACACCAAAAAGGTATGAAAATCAAGATGATTTTACCTTTAGTATGGTCCCTGTTTCCTTTAGTTGTAGAGACGTTGTTTGACCTGGTTTTCGCAACTTGGTTGTTTTGTCAGGAAGACCTATAGGAATGCACCTTGTCCGGAGTCCATAGTATCCATGACAATTTCCAGAGTCGGACCGTGGATTTGGGAATGTATCATGCCAGCGGTCTGATCCTATAAATTATGATGAATTTTGTGGCAGAAGAGGCAGGATTATTTTTGTTTTAGGAAATCTTATTGACCGTCTTAATCAAGTCTCGAAAACGAAGTCAAACCAACTCCAAATAGCTTTAGGAGACTGCGACTAAACTCAAGATTGCAGTCTTTATATCTACGATCTGAAAGATGCTAAATTTATTTTCGAGTCAAGGCATGATTCACACTGCTCCTCTATTACTAATGAATGTTCGACTGTTTTAGTTGGACCTGACTTTACTACCACAAACTAAAACTAACCAGCCAAATACAAATAAAGACGTGATTTGTGGATATGTGATATTGTTTGCCCCGTAGGCGGCCATTTATTTTCGCATTTTTCTCTAACATCCATTCTCAGTTCTGTCGAATATACGTGTTGGACTTAACTTCCACGTCATTTGTATTCTCAATCTGTAGATGATATTCTTGCTAAGAAACTATGGTGGAGTACGCTTAGCAATAAATCTGGAGTGGCTTAAACGAGAAATTCTAAGCTCAGCAGGCAATAGTCAAGCTTCAGTGACGTTTCCTGGCAATGGACATGGAAATTTTTTTAATTAGGTGATTATATTTCGGAGCAAGTATGGAGCTATTTTACGACGTTAAGGACTAAATGCAATATTTATGGCATGAAAGTGATACTGCCTTTCAATGACGTAACTAATTTTAAGTTGCAGCTACATTTTAAACGAGATAAAACAGAATTTTCCTTACTAGAATTTTGAAGTTATTTGTAGCATATAAAGATAAGCTGGGTTTTGAAGAAGTCTTCAGTAAGTTGATGCTGACAAACCTCTCAATTAGCGTGAAAAGGTGGGCTAAAGGGATTAATAAATTGACCTCATCGGATACCGAATGACTTGTGACTGTTAGATTGTACGGAGAAAACCTCGGACCATTGTCCTGCAAACTCGATGAATCCGTGCTGAGCTTTCATCCGTCATGTGGCGGACATCGTCAGTGCGAGAAACTATCATTTATGAACAATCGCCAGAAGACACTAAACCAAGGAGAATGTCCGGCTTAAATCCTACGTTATATACAATTTAAGGATATGAATGAGGCTTACCCTACGTGCATGTAGTCATGTAAAGTTGATGCATGAAAGATGAGTGAATGCGGCCAAGTTTTACCTTATGTAAATAACCTAGTTTATAATACTTTAATAGTATGACTTGTTTTAGCCTCATAGATGCATTTGCATTGTGTGCAACACTTACGAGTCAGTTGACAATTTCGAGCCCAAACAAGATTATAGGTTAATCAAATCTTATATTACTCAATGACTCTTCCCGTTCTCTCTCATTCTATCCAGTAGCCAGAGATAATTCTTGCTTAATTTGCACTGCTTCTTCCTTTTGTTCACAATTTTGTCTGTATTGTTGATTTCAATCGACTATCTGATTTTCCGCTTAGCTGTGAAATCTCTATATCCGAGTTTTATATTGATGGGTTTTAGAATACCATATATGCTGTCCTTAGTGACCATATGTTCAGTAACCATATGAATTCGTTAACCTTTACTGGCAGTTTTATTCTCTGATAATCTCTTAAGTATCGGCTGACACGTCTCCTCCACATAGACACTACCACATGAGCACGAAACCTCATAACAATGAGATTTGCAGGGGGCATAGGAAAGTGTATTTCTTTATACGTGGTACTGACGTTCAATTTACTCATTATATCGCCTTTTTCTAAAGCTAGCAATATGTTAGTATCAGGTTCCTGGATAAAGGGTTATCTTATTCCGTGTTTTGTTCTAAATGGTGCTTTCCTCATCCAAATGATTAACAACTAATACTTACTGATAATTGTTCTCAACTAAGGCTTTTTTCGTCTTTCTTTAATAACAATGACATCTAAAAAGGTTACTAATGTCCTTTTCTAATGCCATAGTAAATTCAGTTGTCCTATCTAATCTATTCTATAACTTGAGGAATTCTTTCAGACTCTTTGCCATGCTACGCAATAGCAAAGTAGCAATCCATATATTCAACTAACAGTTTTGCAGCTCGGAGTGCTTCTTGGAAGAGCCAGACCTCTAAATGAGCAATGTATCTATTTGCAAACACGATCCTATGGCTGAACGTCTAGATTGCTCATAGAATGATCAAACGAAGTGCAAGGTATGCCAGCATCCCCTATAGCATGCTAGAATTCGCTAATTTGCTCTTGCTCACTTGCAGGAATACCTTCTATTCACGTGATCAAAGTCTTAAGGAGCATAGTGACCTAATTCTCGTAACTTTGGTCGTTATTCAAGATATCCATTACTTCATTAGGAAAGGATGTCGTATTTTTTGTCTCAAATTAGTTGTTTTGCGGTTGACCCTCGAGATGAGCCGAAAAGAAATTCTCCTCGTTCGTCTTTCGATATGATTTTAGGCTTAGGAGCACCCGCTAATAAGCTTATAGTGCTCAGCCAGAATGGGCCTCGAAGGACTAGAATATGACTTGATCTAAATAATAATTGATTAGTTTTGTACAATTACTCAAATATACTTAGTTCTGAATCCTTATAAAGTAAAATTCGTTAAGCTTTCTAAAAAATATCACCCTTCCCTGTTGCATTTTTAATTCGTTCCCTCTTGTTCTTTCTCACTTCCAGGTAATCTTACTCAATAGCTCTCTAAAAAGCATCATATCTGAACTATCAAGCCTCAAAAAGGGTCTGCCCCCAGCAGACACGCTAGAAGTAGACATTCCTCTCGAACGAGTGACTCATCATCCAGATAGCAAGCCACCTTCTTATGGCACCTGTCCAGTTCGTCAAGACAAGGACGTCTCATCAGTAAGGGACAACTTGAAAATATAAAAATTAGTATATCCTTTATTTTTGCTCGATTATCTCTTATCGTAGAAATCCACTCATATATCCATATACTTGTTCTTAGATTTATATTTTAATTAATTTTTAATAGCAGCAATACGTAATTATGTGAATAGTCGTAAGTAGTCGTGGCCACTGTTCACTAGCTAGTGAAATCAGGGCTCTCTCAGACATATTTATAATCCTTTTTACAATACATTGCATTAACCACACAATAAGAACTAAAGTATATAGTCCATTTTAACTTGACATTACTCTATAAATTTTAATGAAAATTATAGGTTGATTCGTTTCTAGGGCCTATTACTGCTACCCCGATAGATTGTTTCCTTCTTATTAAAACTCCTTTAACAAAGACCCGTAACTGCCAATGGCAAGGTTTTAATTTATATGACTTGTCTTTCCCTAAAATGCACCATCATGGAAAGTGTACATCATCGTTGATGGATCATTGAACAATTATTTCTTATTTTGGTTTTTAAATTGGCTTTTGAGACTAACAGTAGATCTTGAATAAGGGCTATTATTCCTATTTCCTTAATGCGATAATAGACTCGTAGTAGTCTATCTTATGCGCCGACCCTTCTATAGAAATACAGCCTTAGTTTGCAGAAGTATAAAATCATTATAAATTTTAAGGAGATATGACATGTTGTACTTGCTGCTTCTTCATTGCCTAATTCTCTGATGCTTTGCCTTCTCCACAATGTAAATTCAGGTAAACTTCTTGCATTGCTGGCAGTCCTCGGGAAGGCCGGTTCCAAGATACCTGTCCACGAATAAAACTAACCCTTAGATCATTTTATATGAACTAGGGTGATTTCATATTCAATTCGGCGCCTGGCCATTTTTGGGGCATATGCCTATGCATTTTGTATTTCATGTAATTATTAATACCCACACCAGCCGAGTTTGAATATTCAATTCCAGGATGTCCGAGCACAGATCCATGTCTAGACTCAGC